TTTTCTTTCTGATGGGACGATGAACTGTACGTCGGAGGGAACCGTGGCCAGTGAGATGGCCACGGCTGTGCTCGATTGAGGCTCTCCGGCTACGGCAACCTGTTCCTTCCTTGATCTTTTTTGTTTTTTCAATTTTTTCGTTTGTTTTGGCTGACACTGAGGCTTTGGGTGGCCAGCAAAGGGGCGCTGACCGGAGAAGGAGGGGGGTTGGCCTGAACTGAACTGAGACCAGGGGATACATTTTTGCTAAAAAAAGGAAAAACTGCTAAAACTAAAGGCTAAAACTGAAAAATGGACACGGTGGCTTGCAGCCGCCGATGGCAGCCGACTAAAAAACTGTAAGGAACCTTAAAAAAGATGACCGGAAAATCTTTTCAAAGGGAAATTCCAATGATACAAAATAATTTGGGGATTTTGGGTTCTGTCAACAATGGAAGTTCAAGTGTTTTTGGGGCGTTTTAACACGTCATTTAATATATACCATGCTAGGTAGAGATGGAGTCCAAGTAGGAGCCAATGCCGGGCACGCTGGAAAAATGTCTCGGTTTGGGTTTGGGTTGCAGTTTCTGGACAAAGTTATTTATTTATTTTTCCTAATATTCAAAAGTTTGGTTAAAATTGCCAAAAAGTGTAAGGTCGCGATATTACCTAGCCTAAAAATACAATATCTAATATTAATATGTTCTTTCTTATTATGTTTTGTTGCCTCGCTTATAGTTCACCTCATAGCACAGTTTTAAATGGCGAATGGCGAGGCGAGGCGATTGGCCCATGGCCTCGGCACGAGGCGAGGCGATTCGCCATGGCGAGGCCTCGGCTACACATATCACCAAAATTTAGAAAAACAATATTATAGATTGTGCAATTATATAGTTGTGTACAAATGATAAAAATAACATCAAATCTCCCATAAAGGCAAGTAATTGAAACACAAACACCACTTAAGAAAGTAATTGAAGGTTTTTTGAGGTGAAGATTTGTTTGCTTATGTCCCCAGTCCGGTAAAACCCTAGCTTCGTGGGTCTGGGAGATGAAGGAAAAAAGAGCCCGATGTGTGTTTTTTTTATTCTCTTTTCCAGAAAGTGTTAACACACATTTATTATTATTATTTTTTAAACAAATAAGGGGTGGTCTGCGCCTTTAATTCCCCTGAAAGGCGACGAGGCGCGCCATACAGGCGCCTCTCGCCATTCGAAAAGGCGAGCCGAGGCAACCTGAAGCGAGCGCCTCGCGAATAGGGTCGCCTCAGGCAGTGGCGAGGTGAGGTGACCCTCGCCTCAAGGCGTCGCCATGGCGTCGCCATTTTAAACTATGCCTCATAGTTGAGCCACTACAAAGAAATAGACATTTAATATTGGCGAGTCAAATGTCTTCAGCAACAACAACAAAGTACCATTAAGAAATGATAGAAGTGATTGATCTATGCCCATGGAATACACAAAACTAAAAAAGGAAAAACCTATGAGCTTCTGCTAGAGGGAAAACACCCATGAAGTTGTTCTGGAAGTGAAGACATGCCTAGTTTTTGCATTGGCCGTCAGCCAGCCGGGCATAAAACCTAATGAAACATAGAACTTAAAATTCTTGGTGTAGTGATCTATTGGAGCATTAATTAAATTCTAGTGCTTCGAAGTTTCTAGAAAAAAAAAATATATCAAACGACGCAATGCACCTTGGGTCACTACGGAAACAGCCTCCTTGTATAATTACAAGGTCTGCATACAACTAACCCCCCAGACCCCAACCAGTTGGGAATATACTGGGTATGTTGTTGTTGTTGTTGTAGTGATCTATTGGAGCATCACTCCCTAAACGAATAATTGGTGTTCGAAAGTTTTTGCTACATAAATTAATTCATGCGTAAAAGAGTTCGCAGTTTATTAATTCTGAAACACCAGCCGCATAAGGTGTTGAATCAGATATCCCATGTAATTATTACTAATTTTCTTGTGTGCATTTAATAGACACCGGGGTCCAGGTACAGTCATCTATCAGACCATATCAAGCTATTAACCTTCCAAACTCTGATAAAATTAGCAGATGAATAATAACTTAAAATTTGACACTTGCCATTTAATAATTTGATTAAGCCAATATAAAGTTACTTTTATTTTTTCATAAACAAACTAAAACCGGGCAGTCAATAGGATTTGATGATGCATCAAATAAGGCATAAAAGTACTTCCAAGTCATCAAATTAATACTTTGTTCCCATACAGTATATCTGAAATTAAACTTCTGCAACAACTTACTGCAAGAATTTCTCAATGAAAGTTGTCTTTATGCACAAATATAAAATTACCCGTCCACTAATGTATTTTCCATTGATAAAAGAACCCATATGCACAGTTTATGGTGTATTGGTGTGTGATACTACCTCACATATAATAAAATACATGATAGCATCTAATTTAATCGTTCATTACTTGTAACTTCTTATTCACTACAGCTTTAACCAAAGCCAACATGAAGTAAAAGTAACATATGAAAATTTGGCGGTAAGGATAGATAATTAGCTAAAGGAAAATTTCATCACCGTCTAAAATAGCATGAACAATGAATCGGTAGAAAACTTCACTGATAAAATTCCATTGTTCCAAATAGATGCATAAGTGTACACATACCACCTTATGCACTTCCAATATAAAAACAGATTTTTCAACTCTAGAAACATTACATTCAAGTAATTCATCGGCATGGATCCTTAACATGGAAATAACATTCTTTAAGGCAACTATTTCATAATTCCAATATTAGCCCACAATAGCAAATGATTTCATGTAACATATTAGCCAAGGAATCACAAGAAAGTGCCAAGTCTTTCATCACATCAGGTATGTGAAGACTTGAACAGCCTTTGGAGGAAACTTTTGTGCCTTATAGTCAGGAAGGAACATCTTTCAACTAAAGTACGGAGACTTTGGCTTGGATAAGGTATTCTTGTGATCGGTTTAATAGGTATTTTCTTTTATGGTTCATATTCCGGTTGCTTGAGTATACAATTGTTTACGCCACTATAATATGCACAAAAAACCTAAAAAAATAAATCACTTTCAGCTCTTTAACTACACTTACTGAATACCTAGAACAAACATTCTAACATCACATCTTCATAACAAAAAGTTAATCTTTTCAATGGAAAATGTGCCCATTCCCAACTAACCATGTTATAGTCGAAGCATTACATATTAACAAACCGGACTCTTCCCCCGTGACCCATCGAGCAGAAAAGCCCCATTCAACAAAATGTAAGAAGGCAACAGGTAAAAAAACATAGTTACTTGCTTTTGAGCTGTATAACCATTTCAAGATAGAACTTATCCACTGGTCTTTCTAAATCGCAAACAATTCTGAAAACAGTACCACAAATGAGAACTCAACAATCAACAATGCATTCGTAATCGACTCAAGACGAGCAAGAAAACAATAAAAAATGATTGATACAGACTATCAAGATACGAACTTGAACAATAAAATAAATTACACGACTCGAATAAAAACAATGTCACAATGAAAAATAATTGAATACCTGGATAGGAGGAGAAGAAGAGAAGGGGTCTGCAAACGGGCAACGAGAATTGAGATTGTGAAGAAAAGGTTTGTAATCGACTCCACAAATGGAGGATGAGGACGCAAATCCGGCCGACATCGCGGGTTCCATAAATACACACAACAGCAACAGTACGCAGACGCATTTTCTCATCGCAACCTCCATGGATGGATTGAAAACGAGACCTAAAACCGACCAAACAACAAAATCCTAATCTTTTCTCCAACCTATCAGCTGCAACAATATTTGATATATCGAAATTAGGGGAAAAAAAACCCTAGAGAGATCAAAATAATCAACGACCACCGAATCTATTATATCGTCCTTTTTATTCACTGGGCTTGAAAATTTTAAGTGAATTTCTCCTTTTTCACCCACTATGG